AGAAGAAGAGGAACAAATATTAACCATTGTTAATAGTTTATGTTCGCAAGAGTTTTCTGAACTGAGTAGATAAAAAAAACCGATTGACATGTTAACTAATAATTAATTTATTCATTCTTCACAGAAATTCATTCTTAATATGGAAGTCTCTTTTGTAACCTTGGATAACAAAAAGAGGCTTTGTAATTGTAATAATAAATAAAATGAAAAATGGAGATAAAACTTTTAAAGAGATTTTCCCTTTGCTCCTTATTCTGGACTACTTACTCATCAAAAATACCCACACTGACATCAAAGTTCAAAGAAACTGCTTGCATTAATAAAGATTACTTGCATCATCAAGTGTTGTAGGGTTAGGATTTAACTTAGGGTATGTCTACACTTGCACCCTCTTTCGAGACAGGGATGCAAATGAAGACATTCGAAATTGCAAATGAACCCGGGATTTAAATACCCCATGCTTCATTTGCATAATCCTGTTATGGCGCTATTTCAAAATAGCACTATTTCGAAATAACAGACGCTGTTAAGATGCGGTTATTTTGAGAGAAAACACTTCTCTCGAAATAACCGTGTCTTAACAGCGTCTGTTATTTAGAAATAGCGCCATAACGCGATTATGCAAATGAAGCACAAGTTATTTAAATCCCGGATTCATTTGCAATTTCAAATGTCTTCATTTGCATCCCTCTCTCGAAAGAGGGTGCAAGCGTAGACATACCCTTAGGCAAACATAATAAACCGATCAGATCATAAATTGGTAGTTTTGTGGACATTTCTTATATTTTTGCAATGCGAAAATTACAAGGATCAATTTTCTAGAATGCTCAGTACATCCAATTGGGGCTAGATTTTCAGAAGAGCTCAGCTCCCAACACACTTAAATTAAGTGATCAGGATTTTAATAAATGCTCAGAACTCAACAACTTTCTTTGTTGTCAAAGAGAGCTGTAGACTTTGCAAATCTGGCTATTTTAATTAGTTGCTTAAGTGGAAGATGCTAGATAAGAGTCCGTTTGAAAATCTGGCCTTTGTATCCTGAATACGTAAGCATGCATGTTTTCAGTTTTGCTAAATGCTGCTAGCAATCATTGACTGACAAAGCGTTACCAGCCAAAATCACATCAAAAGCTAGGGAGGATAAATATACTGAATAGTTGATAAAACCATTATTTGTGGAACTTCAGAGGGAAACTTTATAATCTTAAATATTTGATGTGTATGAAATTTGAGAATAGTGTTAGTGCTGCTTTATGTAACAGCCTCAGATACCAGAAATATATTTTTCACAAATGTTGCCTTGGCAGTTTAATTCTAAAAAAATCCAAGAAAATTTGAAAGATGAACAGTCCATTTTCAACTCAATGTCTATATTTAGATATATTGCAGACACCAGCAACAGGAATTTATTCCTACGTAGGCGGGATTCCTACTTCTGTACCTCATAATTCACATACCAGTTTCTGAAAATATCTGCAGACTTAAAAAACTACATTTTTCTGGAGAATCATTGCTAGTTCTGTGGTCATGCTTTGCTGTGTTTATCTGCAAGAGGCTGTACTGCACTTGAGTTTATTATCCTATTGTGCAATGCTGTGACTGTTCAAAATATGAAACTCTGCCTAGGCACTGTTTTATAAATCAACAGTCCCTTAGCTTGAATTGTATTCTGCAGTGGTCCCCAACCTTTTGGGACTGCCAGGCGCCCGGGAGTGGGGCCGCGCCTGTGCCGGGCGCCTGGGGCCCAGGGTGCAAGAATGGCTTGGGCCAGCCCTGGTCACTCGGCGGGTACACATAAATGCCCCGGCAGGCACAATGGAGCGCCTGGGCACCGCATTGGGGACCCCTGTATTATAGCATATTGACCAAACAGGTCACAATATATTATAAAATATAGTCAAGATAGTTGGATAAAAAGTAGTCTTGAAAATTAGTACTTCAAGCATAAAACTTCACAAAAGTTAGTGAGCAGTTAAAACTTACTGTATGTTTTTGTTCTGGAAAAAAATCTAAGTGAATTTCACATAGAAGGGATGATACAACAGACTCCAGAGTTACAAACACCAGAGTTACAAATTGAGTGGTCAAGTACACCTCATTTGCAACCAGAAATATGCAATGAGGCAGCAACAGAAAAAAAAGCAGATACAGTACAGTGCTATAAGATATTAAAAATAAAGGGAAATTAAAGCTGTACTAAGTCAATATTAGGTTGTACATTTTTAAAGAACCTACAAGATGTTAGAAACATTTCAATTACAAACCTCTGTTCCTGAGATGTTCTAATTAAGGATGTTAGTTATCGTGTAATTGAATAGTTGTGTAACTGCATAAAAACTTAGTTATATGACTATTACATAGCTCCCAGGGGTGGGGCCAGCAGCCAGTGCACTCCCAGCCCCACTCCTGATACACAGGCAGCAGCCCAGGATGGCAGGAAGGAGCCAGTTCACCAGGGGAGCTACCGGTAGTTTAAAACCAGCTCCCTGCACAGACCAGCTGCCTGCCACCCTGCACTGCTGCCTCTCCCTGATACAGGGATGGCAGCAGTCCCTGTCCGTGGAGGGTCCAAACTCCCCATGGACAGAGGCTGCTGTTATTTTAAACAGGTAGAGTTTAAATTCCTAAAATCAAAGTTTTAAAAAATAAGCATAAAACTTTGTTAGCTCAAGTATTATATCATGTACACATGCTAAAATACAAAGGATTTCTGAAAAGGCTATATTATGCTAGCATTTTATATAGATATTTATGTTGTATCACAACTTGGAATCAGGATTTACAAAGTAAATTCTCACTGATGGCATGAATTGTTTCTAAAGAGATATTTAGGATACATCTAAAGAAAAACCCATTTTTAAATGTTATGTGCTTGGTATTGCTTTTTGTCATATATTTGTATTTATTCTATGCAATAAAGGGTTGAATGCTAGAATGAGCTCTCCTATGGGAAACTATGAGGAAAAAAAGTAGTTTCCCAGGTATCCCATTACAGTTGCTGTATGTTTTAAGTTGTTTAAAAGGGATTATACAGTGTAGCCCTGAGCACTGCATCTCCTCCTGCATAACCAGTTGCGAGTGTTAGGCCACAGGATAAGGCCATGATGACACTGTTGACTGACCATCTAATCACTTAAGATCCCATGGCACTTTTTCCTAAGGAGAAGAATTTACACCCGTACTATGACCAAATTTAAGTCAGGCAATTACATTCTACCTAAGTTACCCCTGCAATTCTAATTAATTTTCCTCTCTGAAAATGTTGCCTACTATTGCTTTACAGTATTTGCTGCATTATAACTGTACAAATGCCTGTATTTTCCTCATGAGTGATGTAATTCCATTGTACAACTAGCACATTTGCTTAAAGTACACAGGAATCCATTTGGATGAAAAGTATTATACAAATTATAGCTAATAAAAATTCCCAGACAAAAGACTGACATAAGGGTATAGTTAAGGTTAAGAGTACGTAATTATGCAAAGCATAAAGCTTTACAACATATGAGCATATTGTAAATTGTCCCAAAAACAAAAACTGTAAACAAAGAATTCAGGATTAAGGTAAATTAAAAAAAAGTAAACATCCTGAAAGTATAAACATCTTGAAAGTTTGTTCAATATCTTTATTAATGACCTGGATGAGGGGATGGATTGCACCCTCAGCAAGTTTGCGGATGACACTAAGCTAGGGGGAGAGGTAGATACGCTTAAGGGCAGAGATAGGGTCCAGAGTGACTTAGACAATTTGGAGGATTGGGCCACAAGAAATCTGATGAGGTTCAACAAGGACAAGTGTAGAGCCCTGCACTTGGAACGGAAGAATCCCAAGTATAGTTACAAGCTGGGGACCAACCAGTTAAGTAGTAGTTCTGCAGAAAAGGACCTGGAGGTTACAGTGGATGAGAAGCTGGATATGAGTCAACAGTGTGTCCTTGTAGCCAAGAAGGCTAATGGCATATTAGGTTGCATTAAGAGGGCACTGCCAGCAGATCCAGAGATGTCATTATTCCCCTTTATTCGGCTCTGGTGAGGCCACATCTGGAATATTGTGTCCAGTTCTGGGCCCCCCCACTACAAAAAGGATGTGGATGCATTGGAGAGGGTCCAGCGGAGGGCAACCAAAATGATTAGGGGGCTGGAGCATATGAGAGGCTGAGGGAGTTGGGTCGGTTTAGTCTGCAGAAACGAAGAGTGAGGGGGGATTTGATAGCAGCCTTCAACTTCCTGAAGGGAGGTTCCAAAGAGGATGGAGAGAGACTGTTCTCAGTAGTGACAGATGGCAGAACAAGGAGCAATTGTCTCAAGTTGTGGTGGGAGAGGTCCAGGTTGGATATTAGGAAAAACTATTTCACTAGGAGGGTAGTGAACACTGGAATGGGTTACCTAGGGAAGTAGTGGAGTCTCCATCCCTATAGGTGTTTAAGTCTCAGCTTGACAAAGCCCTGGCGGGGTTGATTTAGTTGGGATTGGTCCTGCCTACAGCAGGGGGCTGGACTTGATGACCTTCTGAGGTCTCTTCCAGTTCTATGATTCTATGATAAAAATGCAGCATAAAGGCACTCAAACAAGCTTAAATCAGCCCTGCAGCAGCACCATAGTTTAAGCATACAATTAAGATTAATGTATTTTAGAGTTTAAATTTATTTCATCTTCTTCCACCTCATGCAACAAGTACATGTGACAAGGAAGAGAGGGAGAGTGAGAAAAGGATAATGCTAATATCATCCTGTGGTTACACAAATCTATGTACAACGAGATGGCTTAACAGCAAATTAGTTATTACTCAGCTATGTTTTACATTTTCAATTACTGTTTGGAATTCTTAACAAGTATAAAAAAATCCCAAAAAGCAACACATTAAAATTAAAGGGGTACACATATTCAACCCTTTTTCAAAAACCATTTGCTAGTGGTGCTCCAGCATTTTAAATGCAAATTATGCGCTCGGCAAAAAAAAAATGGAGGTTTGTGCATTTGCAAGAAGACACTGCTTTTCCTTTTTTTTTTTTTTTAAATCAAATCAGCTTATTTTTAGTCAAATGCTTTGATATACAGTGCATTAAATACATACAGGGAAATCCTCTCAAGCATGATAATTTATTAAGACTTTAAACTTTTTAATACAAAAAGAAAAAGTTCACAGAAGCCTAATATTTCAACTGCACATCTTTTTCTGGATGTTTATTTTGATTTTAGCACATACATTTTGTCATAATTGTCTTATTCATAAGGAGGTCAATGATATTTTATTAGACACACAGAGTTACATCAGGACTTCCAAACACTGAATTATTGTTCTTTCATAACTGTTGAAACTGTATGTAAAGAATAAATTCATTTTAATTTCTAAACTCTAGTCCTATCTGGATGACATTAAGGTATATTGTATTAATAATTCTATCGCTCCCTTCACTTTCTTTCACTCTATTCTATGAAACACAGTAGTGTATAAGCAAATAAATTTCACTGTGTGGTTGCAAGATATTTTTACAATACATGAATGACAATAGACCCCACTGGATCAATCTGCAAAAATAAGTTATTAATGTTTCAAATAGAATTCTGCTTAAAAATAATCTAGAAGGATTCATGTTTTTAAAATTGAAGAGTTGGAAAGTATGTTCTAAATAAAAATGGAATTCCTCAAATTAGCTTTATTGTCTTTGTAAGATAGATGATTTAGCACAATTGTTCTGGTAAAACAGCACAAAATAATGAAATGATAGAGGTAAGTGTTTACAAAAAATAACTTGCTCATTTAAAATTTTTTTATTGCAGACTGATAAACGAATACTAAAAGAGCAGCATCGTCACATTTACTTTTCTTTTGATACAAATATCCAAAAGGATTGTGTTTTACCATAGAGAACAAATTTTCAATAGATTTCAAAACATTCTGTTCTTCAAAACTGGGCAAAAAGGTGGGAAAAATGATTTAATGTACTACAAATTAAACTGAATCATTTCCCATTCTTACTTTAAAACCAAAACTGAACATATCCAAAAAAAATAACCATGACTTTTTCTGTCTTGTAGATGTATATCAGCTGGCGATGGACTTCAAGCAATATTAATCTGATTAAACAGTTTATCCTTAATAACCTGAGACATCAATCCATGTATAGCTTCTATGGTGGTCTTGCAACTGAAAAACAAGCATAAATTCAAAACTGGCTAAAAACCCAACTGTCATTGTATTGTAAGTTATTCAACTGTCTTAGGAGTTCGGGGTGCCCATAACCCCATGAATCTTCACAACTGTCCAGATATGAAAAGTCACATAGCAATTTAGTTATTGCTGCCAGAAGCTATTTGTTATCTAAAAAGTGAACTAACAAGCTCTTTACACATCAAGAACCAATTTCAGATTATACACTTTTAGTCTAACAGGTTAGAACATTAACTTAAAATACCGGAAACCCAATTCCACCCATTGTTTTAGATTTTAATTAACTATTGTAAAGGAAATATAAAACCCTGAGCTCGTGTCTTAGAAACTTAGTTCCAAAACTTTGCTTTTTTTATTAGCAAGTGTATTGTGAAATTAAGTATGTTCTGCTAATGATCTTAGATTAACAAAAGAACACCATACTCATTCACCTCTAAAAGATTCGATCAATTCAAATCTCTGACATTAGAAAAGAAAGAAATCACAGTGCTTCAAACAGAACCTACCACTGAGATGGAACAATTAATTGAAAAAGTGTTCTTTTTTGTAACTCACAAGAAATTATTCACTCAATATTCTAATAGCTGTAACAATCATAGGCATCTAGCACCTCTCCTCATATTGTTCCTTTAGCCTGCACCTCATTTTTAAGTCCTTTATCAGGCCATTTATCTGGCTACTAAAGACTTTCCCTTTGGAGTACCTGCAATGGACACAGTGGCAACTAGGGAAGGAGGGGAGGCACTAGCCACAGCGGTGGGGAGGGCATGGGTTGGTCAGCTTCAGCTGCGCTGCTTTGGGGGAGAGGCAGGACTGCAAAGCGGCAACATGTGAGCTGGAGCTGCCTGGCCTAGGCCTTTCCTATTGCCACTGCTGGAAGGTGCAAGGATGGGGTTGTGACATGGCCTCCTGCTGCTGGTGTGGCCCCATTGCTCCCCCTGCGAGTCTGTGCTCCTCCCTTATCCTCCCACACTTGCTGGACGCAGCTTGAAGGGTGCAGGCTGAGCAGTTCAAGCTGCTTCTGGGGAATGCTGGGTATTTCTGCCCCTCCCCCAGAGCAGCATGGCTGAGGAGTGGTGCTGAATGGGCTGGTGCTGCTTGGCTTATGCTTTTCCCACCACTAGTGAGTGGGGGAAAGGGGAAGGGGAGATGTGGTACAGACTCTGCTGTCAGTGCTGGCCCTCTGGTAACTAGCCCTGCTGCTAGCTGCTGGCCAGTCTCTACTGCTTTTGGGGGGGAGGGGCAGGTGCACCTGAAAGGGTGCATGAGGACTTGCAAGAACTCCCACATCACCCATGATTGGACAGCCACACCACACTTACAATATGATGGCGAAGGAAAAATTCTTTCCTATCCCCCTATTAGGGTTGCAAGGTGTCCAATTTTGAACCAGACAGTCCGGTATTTGAGGGTTCTGTTTGGGAAACAAATTGAGAAAATACCAGACATAAAATGTCCAGTATTTTCTAATTAGGTAAGTTTTATTATTATTAGGAGTATCAGTATGTAAGTGCGTACTGCCTGTCTGGCAGACAGGCTCACTCTGTGTGAGTGTGTCTATCAGCCAGGTTGTACGCAACCATGTGAGGAGAGAGGGCGAGGGTGGGGAGCGTAACCAGGGTGCGATGGAATCCCCGGAGCCAGACTCGCTAGTGCTTTGCTGGGACCGTGCATGGGACGGGCAGTGACCCGGGATCTGTGCGCGCCCGGGTCAGTCCCGCTCTCTGTCAGCCGATTCTCTCCCCCTACACTTCCCCCCCGGCCAGCCCCACTCCCCCCGACCCTTCCTGGCCAGCCCTGCTTCCCGATGGCTGGTTGCCACCTGGTAATCCTACCCCTTATAAAGGAGTGACTAGCATAATGGCCACAGCAGGTCCTAACTAATGTAATATTCACCACCTTGAGGGGAAGGAGGATGAATGTTGCCCTGCTTGTTGCATGGAGGAAGGTCTTCTAATACCTGCCTCTTTTAGAACATAACAGTCATACTGGGTCATACCAAAGGTCCATCTAGCTGAGTATCCTGTCTTCCGACAGTGGCGAATGCCAGATGCCCCAGAGGGAGTGAACGGGGCTGGAACATATGACCTATGAGGAGAGGCTGAGGGAGTTCGGTCTATTTAGTCTGCAGAAGAGAAGAGTGAGGGGGTATTTGATAGCAGCCTTCAACTTCCTTAAGGGAGGTTCCAAACAGGCTGGAGAAAAAAGCTGTTCACAGTAGTGATGGGTGGCAGAACAAGGGTCTCAAGTTGCAGTGGAGAGGTCCAGGTTGGATATTAGGAAAAACTATTTCACTAGGAGGGTGGTGAAGCACTGGAATGGGTTACTTAGGGAAGTAGTGGAGTCTCCATCCCTAGAGTAGTTTAAGTCTCAGCTTGACAAAGCCCTGGCTGGGTTGATTTAATTGGGATTGGTCCTGCCTTTGGCAGGGGGCTGGACTTAATGACCTCCTGAGGTCTCTTCCAGTTCTATGATTCTATGAACAGAACAGGGAATTGTCAAGCAATCCCACTCCCATCATCCATTCCCAGCATCTGACAGAGGCTAGGGACACCATTCCTACCCATCCTAGCTAACAGCCATTGATGGACCTAATCTCCATTATTTTACCTAGCTTTTTTTTGAACCCTGTTAAAGTCCTCTTTCTTCACAACTTCCTCTGGCAAGGCGTTCCATAGGTTGACCATGTGCTGTGTGAAGAAAAACTTTCTTTTGTTTTAAACCTGCTGCCTATTAATTTCATTTGGTGACCCTTAGTTCTTATATCACGGGAACAAGTAAATAAATTTTCCTTATTCACTTTTTCCACATCAGTCATGATTTTATAGACTTCTATCATATCCCCCCTCAGTCTCCTCTTTTCTAAGCTGAAAAAGTCCCATTCTTTTTAATCTCTCTTCATATGGGATCTATTCCAAACCCTTAATCATTTGTGTTGCCCTTTTCTGAACCTTTTCCAATGCCAATATATCTTTTTCGAGATGAGGCGATCACATCTGTACACTGTATTCAAGATGTGGGTGTACAATGGTTTTATATAGAGGCAATAAGAGGGTCTCTGTCTTATTCCCTATCCCTTTTTAAATGATTCCTAACATTGTTTGCTTTTTTGACTGCTGCTGCACACTGAGGGAATGTTTTCAGAGAACTATCTACAATGACTCCAAGATCTCTCTCGAGTAGTTATATCTAAATTAGTCCCCATCATATTGTATGTATAGTTGGGATTATTTTTTCCAGTGTGCATTACTTTACATTTATCAACATTAATTTGCCATTTTGTTGCCCAATCACTTAGTTTAGTAAGATCTTTTTGAAGCTCTTCACAGTCTGCTTTGGTCTTAAGTATCTTGAGCAGTTTGGTATCATCTGCAAATTTTGCCACCTCACTGTTTACCCTTTTCTCCAGATCATTTATAAATATGTTGAATAGGATTCGTCCCAGTACGGACCGTTGGGGGACACCACTAGTTACGTTGCTCTATTCTGAAAACAGCATTCATTCCCTTTGTTTCCTGTCTTAACTAGTTATCAGTTCATGAGAGGACCTTTCCTCTTATCCCATAACAACTTACTTTACTTAAGAGCCTTTTGTGAGGGACCTTGTCAAAGACTTTCTGGAAATCTAAGTATACTATAAATACTGAATCCCCGTATCCACGTTTTTCGACTCCCTTAAAGAACTTTAATAGATTAGTAAGGCATGATTTCCCTTTACAGAAACCATGTTGATTTTTCTCCAATATATTATATTCCTTTAGGTGTCTGACAATTTTATTCTTCATTATAGTTTCAACTAATTTGCCCAGGACTGATGTTAGATTTACTGGTCTCTAATTGACAGTATCACCTCTAGAGCCCTTTTTAAATATTGGTATCACATTTTCTATTTTCCAGTCATTAGGTACAGAAGCTGACTTGAAGAATAGGTTACAAACTACAGTTAATAGTTTTGCAATTTTACATTTGAGTTCTTTCAGAACTCTTGGGTGAATGCCATCTGGGCTCGGTGACTTGTTACCGTTAAGTTTATCAATTTGTTCCAAAACCTCCTCTAATGACACCCCAATCTGGGACAATTTCTCAGATTTGTCACCTAAAGAGAACGGCTCAGGTTTGGGGATCTCCTTAACATCCTCAGCCATGAAGACCAAAGCAAAGAATTCATTTAGTTTCTCTGCAATGACTATCATCTTTGAGTGCTCCTTTGGCTTCTCAATTGTCCAGAGGCCCCACTGGTTGTACAGCAGGTTTCCTGCTCCTGATGTACTTAAAATAATTTTGCTATTACTTTTTGATTTTTTTAGCTAGCTATTCTTACAACTTCTTTTTGGCTTTTCTTATATTTTTACACTTAATTTGACAGAGTTTATGTTCCTTTCCATTATCCTCGCTAGGATTTAACTTCCACTTTTTAAACTATGCCTTTTTAATCTCTCACCACTTTTTACTTGCTTGTTAAACCATGGTGGCACTTTTTTGGTTCTCTTACTGTGTTTAATTTGGGGTATACATTGAAGTTGGGCTTCTATTATGGTGTGTCTGAAAATTTTCCATGCAGCTTGCAGAGATTTTACTTTTGTCACTGTACCTTTTAATTTCTGTTTAACTTATCTCCTCATTTTTGTGTAGTTCCCCTTTCTGAAATTAAATGCCTCACTGTTGGGCTGCTGAAGTGTTTTTCCCGCCACAGGGATGTTAAATTTTATTACATTATGGTCACTATTTCCAAGCAGTCCAGTTATATTTACCCCTTGGACCAGATCTTGTGCTCCACTTAGGACTAAATCAAAAATTACCTCTCCCCTTATGGCAGCAGTTTCCAACCTTTTCCAGATGGGGACCCATTTTGACAATTCAGGAAAATATGGTGACCCAGGATAATTAAAAAAATGTGTGAATAGCTCCTTAAGAGCCACCTGGGGAGACACCTGGCGACCCTTTTGAAATGTAATGGCGACCCATATTTGGGTCCCAACCCATAGGTTGGGAAACTCTGCCTTATGGGTTCCAGAATCAGCTGCTCCAAGGAGCAGTCATTTAAGGTATCAAAAACTTTTTACCTCTGCATCCTGTCTTGAGGTGACATGTACTTAGTCAATATTGGGATCGTTGAAATCCCCCACTATTATTGAGTTTTTTATTTTGATAGCCTCCCTAATCTCCCTTAGGATATATTATTAGCGCATGGAATTACTACCCACAGAGATTCTATGGTACATTTTGGTTCACTTAAGATTTTTACTTCATTTGATTCTACATTTTCTTTCACATATAGTGCCACTCCCCTACTACCATGACCTGTTCTGTCCTTCCAATCTATTTTGTACCCTGGTATGACTGTCCCATTGATTGTCCTTTTTCCACCAAATTTCTGTGATGCCTATTATATCAATATCCTCCTTTAACATAAGGCACTTTATATAAACTTCTAGCATTTGTGTATAAACACTTTAAAAATTTGTCACTATCTATCATTTCCTGACGTTAGACTTTTTTCCATTTGATGGTTTCTTATCTGATCTTTCCCATAGTTTATCATCTTCCATCCTCTCCTTTTTACTAGAACACAGACAATCTCTGTGAATAGACCTGCCCCAAGAGAGGTCTTTGTCTAATCCATGTGCTCCTCCACACTCCTCAGCTTTCCCCCACTTCTGCACTTAACAGTCCCAGAGGATGAGTTCATGTCACCCACAATGACCTCCCCACCCATCCACACTTTTTGTTGCAACTGCTGATCTCCTTCCTCCCCATATCTGTAAAGAATTGCTCCCCCTCCGCCCCCTTCTCTGGCAAGCCATGACAACATCTCCCACACTTCAGGTGCAGTGCAGTCCAGTCATTTGTGGAAGGAAATGTTTTATGCAAAAGATACAAAAAGGCAAGCATTCAGTTTTCTACAAACCTAAAACACATGATTTAGACCAGGGTATGTGTGTACACATTGGTGAACCACCATTGTTTTATTCACACACGAGTTAGCCCCTGGCAGGCTGCTGCTACTATATTTATCTGCACCTCTGCAGGTACAGCTGTTTGCAACTTGTTGGTCATGGATCGTTGTTCCTGGCCAATGGGAGCTGCAGGAAGCAGTTACAGACTGTGACACTGCAATTGTCTCCACTTCCCGCAGCTCCCACTGGTCAGGAATGGCAATCCGCAACCAATGGGAGCTGCAATCACTTGTACCTGCGGAGATGCAGGTAAATGTAGCGGTGGTGGCCCATCAGGGGCTAACCCTGGCAAACCAGATCCAGCCCGCAGGCTGGTATTTGCCTATTGGTGGTTTAGACAGAACTATAAAATGCTATTGAGAGATGACAAAAGTTCTTAATGTATATATTGATTATATGTGCATTTTTCTCCTCTTTGTTGTTGTTGGAACCCACTTGCAAGAAAAAGAAAAGCAATTTTCAACATATACTAGCCTTTTGCATTTGACAAATTTCCTATATTTTGAGTGGACTTTACCATGGAATACAGAATATGGTTAATACCTTTAGTGGAGCCAACGCTGTAATTTGAAATGTCATTTTTTTAAGGCGCATAAAAAAAACCCCCAACAACTGTGCTGAAATTTGTCAGAGATCCCTAGCATCTTGTCTGGATGCCTTACAGGAAGATGTAAAATCCTTACTATGCACAATAAACTGAAAGGTATTTCTTCATGGCTCCAGTTAATAAACAGTTTATTCACTAATACCAAAAAATCAACATTGCCTTGTGATTTAAAAAAGGTATTTCTATATTTCGTCAAATACAGCTATATATATATTTTTTTTACTTTGACTCCTTCACAATACTTAGGAACTGGAAAATAATTCTCTACAGATCATTGTTCAAGGTATGAAAACTTAGGGTTTAAAACAGAATAGCATTTCCAAAGAAAGAGAATTCAGACATGTATTATCTCACCTGTCCCTTGTTGCTTTAGCAAGTTTGTCTTCTGATTTTCTGTCATGTGTCTCTAAACCCAACATAAAACTCCCTCGGCCTAGCTGGGCTTCTGATTGCTCTAACTTTTCAGACAAATCAAAGACTTGGCCAGTTGTGTAGTCAGCATTCTGTTGGAACAAAATGCCATTAATTGTACTATAGATAGAACAAACTGTACATCATGTTGGTATTTATGCACAAAATCTACAAACAAGTAAGCAACCTGACAAAATATCTTTAAGTCTAAACAATGCTGGGCCTTAGCTTAGCAGACCAGCAGGAGCTCAACAGCTTGAATATACAAATGATGTGTATTTAAGGCCAATTCAGTCTTTGACCGCATGATAGCAAGAGTTGAGGTCATGAAGTACCCAGATTATTTAGGTCTTTAGAGTGTTTGCTGCATTGCAGCCATCTCTGAGTGCTGCAGGAATAGCAGAGCCAGAATATGTGTCATCCAGCCATCCTAGACCTGGACAGTCAGCATAGTAGTTGAACTTTGCAGAGGGAAATCTTTGGGGTTTGGAGGAATCTTAGAAAAAAAAGACCTGCAAACTGACAGAAAATACTAAGAACTTTTGTTTCATTTCAGAGACATGGTAGCAGGGAAGGATCAATCAGTATTTCTATTATGAGCTCATTTAAATAGTTTCATTAACTGGCCATAAAAAAAATTACTCACAGAGTGATACACCACACAACAAAAAATTTAAAAAAATTATTTTAACCCCCCCCCAAACATTCCAGGGTGGAATTCTGCACTGTGTAAAACTGAAAAAAATCAGAATAAACCATCCTCTGGACAAAGTGCAATTAAAAATTGACATTGACGAAGGAAAAATGTTCTGAAGAGCCAACATTACTAGATTTGAAAAACTGTGTCAATATTATTTATCATCATGAATAATTCCTCATTCCCGTTTCCCCTTCTTATGCCCCCCATAACTCAGTTGAAAATACTAAGTTAGAACATTATGATTTGACAGTTATTTTACAAGGTTTTTGTTATTGATTTTGTGTTATGCTCTCAAAGCCTGGCTCATCACTGTCAGACTCAGCTCTCCCTATGATGAACAGATAGCTTGGTTCAGAACCTTCGTTCCCCTAGTAACTGATGTTAGTGCTTGTTCTTCCACCTCCTGGATGTCAGATTATGCACGGTTTTAAATCTTGGAGCACAAGATTGTGGGATATGGAGTGTCTTGGAATTCACAGTAAGATGCACAACTGAATTTACAATCAATTAGGGATGTAAAATTATTTCATCGATTACTCCAGAGGTGGTATTACTAATTTTATTATAACAGCTTTTAAGTTATACTTAGTATCTTTTAAAAAATAAGGGACTGGTTTTTGTTACAATCATGTACTTCAAGTATAAATTTTTACTTGTCCGCTAGATAGCTACCATCCATTTCATTCACTATATTTCTGTTAAAAACCTACTTTTTTTTTTACTTTGGATTAAAATCTCATATTTGTTTTATTTCTTCAATAAAATCTAACATGCAGTGATTATGTCAGTCACATGGATATAATGCACATATTTTTAATGTTTTTACTCTGCAGAGCAGCTCTGTGAAATATTGTGATGCTCCCTGGCAACTCTTCATGGATACTCATTATTATTGTGCAGTAAGGGGATACTAAAAAGTTTAACAAACTCAGCTTAAACAATGGGAACAAACTAGTCAGCTTCATTTCAACTTCACCTTTTTACTATGTCAAATAATAAAAACAGAAAAAATGTTTACAGAAAGGATTCCAAGAACATAAATAAAACTTCTCTATTATTTGATTTGTAAATTTGACAAACATTCTAAATCGGGAGTCAATTTTCTCAGCAGTGTCACATTAAACAATTTGCATAACAGATCCCTATCTCTAGTACCAACGTGTCAGAGGTACCTGCACTCTCAAAGGGTATGCTATTCTACTTACAGTAAGCAAACTAGAAGAACTGAGTGTGTTCACCCAATATTTGTTCCACAATAGTTCAAGCAATTTACGATCCAAAGAGGATTTGAAGTAGGAGACTTCTAAAGCATAATACCTATTTGAAAAAAAAAGGAAATGTTTAAAAGTTAGCTCTCAGTCAAAAATGTAGGGCATTTTACAATCAAATACTCACATTCATAAGCATCTGTAAAAGGAATAAATGGAAAGTAAAGGTATTTCTCAAAAATGCAAAGACAAAGTACTAAGGTAACTAATCATATGACATTTTAGGGTCCAACTGTAAAACAAATTAAGATTTATATAATCTTCCAACCATGTTTCTCTGAAGAGGAATTTCCCTCGTGTTTGATGCATGCAGTTTCAACTAAAATGATCAGGGGTTTGGAACAGGTCCCATATGAAGAGAGGCTAAAGAGACTGGGACTTCTCAGCTTAGAAAAGAGGAGCCTGAGGGGGGATATGATAGAGGTCTATAAAAGCATGAGTGGTGTGGAGAGGGTGCATAAAGAAAAGTTCTTCATTACTTCCCATAATAGAAGGACTAGAGGATACCAAATGAAATGAATGGATAGCAGGCTTCAAACTAATAAAAGAAAGTTCTTCTTCTCAAAGCAAATAGTCAGCCTGTAGAACTCCTTGCTGGAGGCTGTGAAGGCTAGAACTATAAGAGTTTAAAGAGAAGTGAGATAAAGTCATAGAATCATAGAATCATAGGACTGGAAGGGACCTCGAGAGGTCATCGAGTCCAGCCCCCCGCCCTCAAGGCAGGACCAAGCTCCGTCTACACCATCCCTGACAGATGTCTATCTAACCTGTTCTTAAATATCTCCAGAGAGGGAGATTCCGCCACCTCCCTTGGCAATTTATTCCAATATTTGACCACCCTGACAGTTAGGAATTTTTTCCTAATGTCCAATCTAAGCCTCCCCTGCTGCACTTTAAGCCCATTACTCCTTGTCCTGTCCTCAGAAACCAAGAGGAACAAATTTTCTCCTTCCTCCTTGTGACACCCTTTTAGATATTTGAAAACCGCTATCATGTCCCCCCTTAATCTTCTTTTTTCCAAACTAAACAAGCCCAGTTCATGAAGCCTGGCTTCATAGGTCATGTTCTCTAGACCTTTAATCATTCTTGTCGCTCTTCTCTGTACCCTTTCCAATTTCTCCACATCTTTCTTGAAATGTGGCGCCCAGAACTGGACACAGTACTCCAGCTGAGGCCTAACTAGTGTAGAGTAGAGTGGCAGAATGACTTCACGAGTTTTGCTTACAACACACCTATTGATACAGCCTAAAATCATATTTGCTTTTTTTGCAACAGCATCACACTGTTGGCTCATATTCAACTTGTGGTCCACTATGACCCCTAGATCCCTTTCCGCCATGCTCCTTCCTAGACAGTTGCTTCCCATCTTGTATGTATGGAACTGATTGTTCCTTCCTAAGTGGACCACTTTGCATTTCTCTTTATTAAACCTCATCCTGTTTACCTCCGACCATTTCTCTAACTTGCTAAGGTCATTTTGAATTATGTCCCTATCCTCCAAAGAAGTCGCAACCCCACCCAGTTTGGTATCATCTGCAAACTTAATAAGCGTACTCTCTATCCCAATATCTACATCATTGATGAAGATATTGAACAGTACGGGTCCCAAAACAGACCCTTGAGGAACTCCACTTGCTATCCCTTTCCAGCAGGATTTAGAACCGTTAACAACAACTCTCTGACTACGGTTATCCAGCCAATTATGCACCCACCTTATCGTGGCCCTATCTAAGTTATATTTGCCTAGTTTATCAATAAGAATATCATGCGAGACCGTATCAAATGCCTTACTAAAGTCTAGGTATATGACATCCCCCGCTTCTCCCTTATCCACAAGGCTCGTTATCTTATCAAAGAAAGCTATCAGATTAGTTTGGCATGACTTGTTCTTCATAAACCCATGCTGGCTATTCCCTATCACTTTATTACCTTCCAAGTGTTTGCATATGATTTCCTTAATTACCTGCTCCATTATCTTCCCTGGGACAGACGTTAAACTGACCGGTCTGTAGTTTCCTGGGTTGTTCTTATTCCCCTTTTTATAGATGGGTACAATATTTGCCCTTTTCCAGTCTTCTGGAATCTCCCCTGTCTGCCATGATTTTTCAAAGATCATAGCTAAAGGCTCAGATACCTCCTCTATCAGCTCATGGAGGTTGGGTCCATGGAGTGCTATTAGCCAGGGGGTAGAAATGGTGTCCCTGGCCTCTGTTTGTGGAAGGCTGGAGTTGGATGGCACGAGACAAATGACTTGGTCATTGTCTTCGGTCAATCCCCTCCAGGGCACCTAGTGTTGGCCGCTGTCGGCAGACAGGCTACCGGGCTAGATGGACCTTTGTTCTGACCCAGTACGGCCATTCTAAGCTCAGGGCTCAGGGTCGGGGGTCTCACTGGACCACCTTGATTTTCATGCACACCTGCTCCTGAGTGGCCAGGCTGGCAGCTATCCTGCCCTAGATGGCCACTTTCCTGTGTCTAGTGTGGAGGTTGTGGATGAGGTCCACGATGTCTGCACTAGACCGGGCGGGCGCCCGCCTCTTGCGGACCTGGGCAGGCTCCTGGGAGCCGCCAGCCTGGTCCCGGGAAGAGGCGGAGGGCTGGGTGGCAGCGGGTGGCCGGCTCGAGCCGTGCCAGGTGCAGGGTCTGCTGGCTGGGTGCTGGCAGGCTTGCACCTGGCACGGGCACCGTAGCCAGACTGTGCCCCTTTAAGGGCTCCAGGGCCGGGAGGGGGGCAGAAGAGTTTCCCTGGTGGTGCCCAGAGTGGCCACCAGGGAAAGCTGGGGAGGGCTAGCCTCCCACTAGTTCGAATTAAGTGGCTCCACAGCCCTTAATTCGAACTACTTAATTCGAACTAGGCGTTAGTACTCGTGGAATGAGGTTTACCTAGTTCGAATTAAGCGCTCCGCTAGTTCGAATTAAGTTCGAACTAGTGGTTTGCTAGTGTAGCACCTATCAAAGTTAATTCGAACTAACGTCTGTTAGTTCCAAATAACTCTGTAGTGTAGACATACCCTTGGTGAATAAGCTAGTAGAAAATAAAATAAAATGATGCCCAATTTAAAATATCAAAGATGTGCATACTATATATACACATTTGAAGAAAATTTTAAAATTTGAAATAACATGCCAAATCTAATTCCTTTTAAAATTAAATGGCAAAGCATGGATATTCACAAAAAAATAAATGAATACATTTGTCAAATTATAAACTAAATGCTTTTTCAGCATTAACTGAGGTGCTTATAATAAGGAATTGACAGGTCAATTAAGGGAAATGGTTTTTGGTATAACGCACAAATCCTATTTACCATGCTCTTCCTCAAAGACAACCTCTCAACTAAGTATTGTTATAGAACAGCAAATATAAGGCAGAAGTACACCACGAGGACTGAAGTACAGATTCAAGGCTGAGGAGTTGGAAGGCAGTCACTGCCAAGTGGGGTGGGGTTTTTTGGGGGGAGAGGGAGTAGTATTGGACATGTATATATGTTTTTAAAGCAGTAACTCTGCTTTTCTACCCAGTGCCCACAGGCATTGCCAGAACACCAGAACCCAAACATATGAGCTGCATCTAGACTGGCAAGTTGCTTTTGCGGAAAAACTTGCCAGCTGTCTACACTGGCCGCTTGAATTTGCGCAAGAACACTGACGATCTAATGTAAGAGCGTCAGTGTTCTTGCGCAAATACTATGCTGCTCCCGCTTGGGAAAAAGCCCTCTTGCGCAAATGCTTTTGTGCAAGAGGGCCAGTGTAGACAGCTAAAAACTGTTTTGCGCAAAAAAGCCTCGATGGCAAAAATGACGATTGGGGCTTTCTTGCAGAAAAGAGCATCTAGATTGGCACGGATGCTTTTCCGCAAAAAGTGCTTTTGCGCAAAAGCGTCTGTGCCCATCTAGACACTCTTTTCCGCAAATGCTTTTAACGGAAAAACTTTTCCGTTAAAAACATTTGCGGAAAATCATGCCAGTCTAGACGTAGCCAGAGGCTCATCATTAAGATAGGACAGAAAAACTTAGAGATACAATCACAAAAACCAGAATTGCTAGTGCTGGTACACATATTAGGGGGTGAAACCAACTATTTTAATCTTCCATGATAAAATTTATTCACAATGCAAGAGAACGAACATGTTAGCAACTCTGCTCACCCAACAGACTAAAGCAGTGTTTCTTAAAATGTGCCACGGAGAAGAACAGAATTAAAAATGGCCACCCTTTAAGGGGCAGGCGACTTTTGGTTTTTTTGGCTCAACAACAACAACAACAAAATCTTTGGTGTTCCTCATAAATAAAAATTGTTTGATGTTCCTCGGTCTTAAAAAACACTGGACTAAAGCATAATTATTGTCTGTAATTTCAACCCCTCTCTTTTTTCTTCGTGGCTATTCTCAACTGGGGAAGATTGGAAGTTCTCTTCCATAAATTGTTTTCATGTAGCTTCAGGAAAGACAATAGTTTAGACACATGCTAACTAGTTATCTCAGCAAAAGAATACTTTGGCAATTATTAATAGAATTTTTCAATTTTATGAAAAGTGTAATCTCAGAACAGATTAAAAAAGTAATGGGTAAATTTAAAAAAATTAATGCTATAGAAAAGCATAAACAACCACACTTAATTTAGAATGTTCTTTTTATAACAAATAGAATGATTAGTGTTTGTCGGGGATTTCCACTTTGCTCCTTGGTATAATAATACAAATAATAGTTTCATCTGAGATTTTGAGAGAGCTTTGTCTTTAAGTGCACGGCAATCAAATTGTTAGCTTCTTAA